AAGGTTGTAAACGCGACTTTATAAGCCTCCCGTTTGCAAGCGCCCTAAGGCCTGTCATAGTCTGCGGGTCCGCGCAATGCCGATGTAGGTTCGCATTATAATCTCGGAATATATCTCACCGTGTAACTCCGTCCGTCCGTTGCACAAAAACCACTGTAACACACACTATATTTTTTCCTTTCAAACGTTATAACGGGTGATTTTTTTTTCAAAAAAAATTTTTTTCGATGTTTTTTTTTTAAAAACGCGTGGGGTAGCAACGACCCCCGCAGATTATGACAGTCAGCAACGATTATGAATTATTAAAAAAAAACCTGAAATACACAAGTGTAGGCAGTGAAATAACCACTAAATAATCAAGTAATTTATTTCTGCACATATATAAATACATAAATAGGCGTCAACCGAGAGTCAAAAAATTAAAAAAAAAATGAAAAAATTAAAACAAAACACTAAGGTCCTGTCCCACCAAATTGTAAATCGTCTGATAACGATGGAACGCGTAAAATATATGATGTAATTTTCGGATTTTGTTCCCTTATCTGCCAGCTATCTGAGCCTCTATCAGCCAGTGGTGGGACAGGCCCTTAGTTGCCTACAATCTTAAGACACAGATAAGACAAAAAACGACTTGTACTTTTTTGGTAATAAAAAATGAGTTTTACTACTTGACTCCCCTTAACTACCTGGCTACGTCCATGTATAAAATATAAACGTATAAACTTAAGAGCGGGGAGCGAAAAAGGCGTGAGCAGAGTGTAACAGCGGGAAGAGTCTCTACAGCACTCGAGTTTAATATAAAAGTAGCTATAAATGTTGTTTGTGCATGTCTTCGTGTATTAATAATTTATTTTGTAATAATTAATTTATAATAAATATAAAATAAGTAAAAGAAATAATTGACTTTTCGCTGAGCTAATCCTAATCCTCAAAATAACCACCCATATACAAATTTATGTAATTTTTACACTAAAAGAAAGAAAACCCCTATATTTAGTGTAACTGCTCCTCAATATGATTTAAAAAAAACAGTACTTTCAAGAAAAAACACATACAAAAGCCTTTTTTCTAATTTCCAATTACATTTTTCCAAACCCTATTAATTATCACACAGAAATAAGTAAAAATGTTCTGTTTTATTATTTCCCTGAAAACTATAAGCTCGTTACCTCTTCTCTACTTTAGATAGAAGAAGACAGAAGTATGTATGGATTGTGTGAAAGAGGATATATTAGGGGAATTAATTCAGATATGACTGCGGATGGAAGCACATACTGTGCCGACCCTCCTAAGACAAGCTCAACTTACCTCTCCCTTCTCTTTCTTCTTCTCCTTCTTACTCTCCTTCTCCTTATCCTTATCCCTGTCCTTGTCTTTCTTGTCCTTCTTGCTCACGGTACGGTCGCGTTCTAGACGGTGACGAATTTAATTAAAATAGATATATAATTGTAGATTAGATTTTATATTGCAAAATACATTTAAAAAAAAAAACTAGTGTATATGCCAATGACATTATTGTACAGTCAGATGTATATATGTTACATGTCGAGAGAGGAAGGGACACATGCAATAAGACAGTAGAATCTCGATAAGTTAAAGTCCAAGGGAAACACAAAATATTTTAAGTTATAGAGGTTTTAAGTTATCAAGGGTTTATGTTGGATAGGTTTTGGGCTCTGATGGGAAGGGAACATATTATTTTTTGAAGTTATAGAGGTTTTTATGATACCGAGATTTGAGTTATGGAGGTTCTACTGTATTTCCTTCCTACGCATTCCTCAAAGCCATTTCTTTTCCTATTTTCTTATAAGAAAATGATAAAGGAAAGAGGACTCAAACCTCCCGTAGTCTTACTAATATTATAAATATTCAATTCTAAATGGATGTTTGTTAGTAGCCTAAACTGCAGAACGAATCTCGATTGTCAAATATGTAGAGGATAGTCTGGAACACAGGATACTTTTTTATGCGTACAAAGTCGCGTGCAATGCTAGTATATTTCATGCAACTGACTGTATTATAACAAAATACAAACTACACCTTCAATATTTGTTGCAATGTTTGAAACAGAACCTAGAGGGTAAAATCTCTGCTAACTCACCTTTCTCCTTTCCATCTTTCTCCTTCTTCCTCTCATCTTTAACCTGCTTGCAGTACTCTCTAAAGTAATCTTCTCTGACGGTGCTACTCTCCACCGCCTTGTACCGTGGGTCGCTGTCCACCTTCTTCTTGATCTCCGCCCAGCGAGTGTGTCTGCCCACATTCTTCTCTTTCAGCAGAGCTAGGAAGTCATTTTTCACCTAGAAGGAGAAACAGAAGTCAATAGAAGCTCGTGATTGGCGCGGATTTTATTCGACTAAGGAGATAGATTGTGTTTGGAATTATTTCAACAATAAAACAATAAATTAGGTATAAACACTGACTTCTTAAGGCACTTCTAAGATCTTTAGACATGACAACCCTAGATGTGCCTAAAATCAGTGATTAAACTATGTTTTTTTATTATTTTTTTAATTCAGAGCTCCATTCCGAATCACATTCTATCCCGATAGTGTTCCATATGACATACGCTGTGGCATTAGATTTTTTTTGAGCTGAAAACATTAGAAAAATATCATTATTGCTGTGGAAATAAATAATTAGCATTAGTTCCTGAAAGAGATATAAATTAGTTAGAGCGAAAGTAAAGATGTCACATAATTGGATTAAAATGACACAATCCTTATTTTTTTTATAGAATTTTAATAAAAAAAAAAGAATTACAAGATAACGAACAAATTTATTATTTGATTGGACACAAAATCTATATGTTTTAAAGTAATTTTACAACAATAACTTGGAGGAACAAAGAATCAACCACTAATAACAATTACAACCTCAAAATGTACCGAACACTTTGACACGACTTGCCGCTACCAGTCAGCGAGCGAATGCCCGACTTTCAAAGATGGCGGCCTTTAAATATTCCATATAATATATTTTTTAAATATAATGTGAAATTGAGAGATAATCTTCTGTCACTTTGTAAACTGACAATTTAAATACAGTTTCAAGTATTATGAATTTAACTCCGGTAACACATTTTTTGGGATTCCTTTTCTAATGAGATTTTTCTTTTAAGAAACCTCAAACTTCTTGTAAGTAAGAAAAAAAAAAATTATTGGACATTCAAAAAATCCCCTTTTTAAACAGAAATAGAGGCAATGGTTCTCAAATATTTACTAAAATCTTTACTTTACGGCTTCAATTATTTAAAAGATAAGGAAACTTTAAAAAAATCAAACTTTACTTTCGCTTTTTCTTATAAACTACGACTCTAGGAGGCGAATTCATTAATTTACGGGCAAAACAAAATTTGTTATTAATAAAGTCAGAATTAAAATTATTTAAAAAACATCTATGGCCTAAATGGCTATAGATTTAATAAAAAAAATTATTTTTGCTTTTCTCAAAGTAGATAAAATTATTAAATAAGAGATACATAACATCAGGTGAACTACTTCTAATTTTTTAAAAAATCACTTCTAAAAAAATATACAATTAGAAAAAAAATTTTTTTTTTCATTTTTTAATAAAAGCATTCATGTAAAACGATTGTAAATATCATATAATTTGCTCGTCCCGGGTTCGAATCCAGACTTATGAAATTATACTTTGTATTATAAATGCGAAATTTTGGATGGATGTTTGTTAGAGATTGTAGCCTAAACAGATGAACGGATTTTGATGAAATTTAGTATAGATGTAGAGGATAGTCTGGAAGAACACATAGGCTACTCACTTTTTTTTTAATTCCATGCGGACGGAGTCGCGGGCTGAAGCTAGTATAGCTTTATATTATAAGATATCCATTAACGTATCCACTGTCTTTTATAGGCTAAAAAAGGTTATTTTCAATTTTAAAAAATTAAAAATCTAGTTTAAAATACATGAATGCTTTTAATTATTTTCATAGTTTGTGTTACCCGTAAAAATTTATTTTTATCTCGAATTGCGCCTTTAAAAAAAAATAACAAGATTTAACAGAAAAACTGTCTGTTTCATGTCGGAAGGACAAATTACAAAAAAAAATTGATATATGCTTTGCAAAAATTACATTTAAATTCTTTCCGAATCCAAAAAAAATCTATAAAATCCTCTGACAATTTTCAAAAATTACTGATTTTATTAGTTTAAAATTTTTCTGTACACATATTTTTCCAAAGAGATTTTTTTTCCGAAATCACTGCTACAATTAATATTCTATAACAAATATAAACTTGCACTAGTTGAAAAAATCTCTTTAAAAAAATTCAAAAGAAAAAATCCTGAAAAAAAAAAATTATTAGTTTGCGTCTTGAGCCAAAGGCCTTCCCACCACCTTTCAATTCTACCATCTTTAATATACGATGGCATGCATCCTTGAGGTTAAAATTTATATAATTTCAAAAGTATGCATTATACATACATTTTTTAGGATTTTTTTTACGTAAATCGGCTTAAAAACTAAATCTAACCTTAATGTTATTTCTGGCGGGACGGGGTGAGTCGCAGGTTTACTATCTTAGGCCCTAAGAAATTTATAATTTATGAGTTTTACACAGAAAACTAAAAGGGACAAAAAAATGTAATTACAAAAACTAATAAAACTTCTGTAAAATTGAAATCGCAATAATTCACCAAAGCTACATCCCTTGGGGTAAATTCAATTTGGAAAAATGATAAAAAAATACCCGCACGAAACCGAGGACGGAACGCTAGTTACCAAAACCAAAAGTCTATCTCATGATATTTCAAATAAAATCAAATTTCATCGATATTTTTATAAAAGTGAAACAAAAAAAACATCAACAGTATTGTAAAGCAAATAAAATTGTAGTGAAGATTTGTATTTCTTAGGTAATATTGTGTTCAAAGTGTTTAGATTTCCTGAAAACTTATTTTTTTTAACAAATCGACGGATTCCTAAATAATACTGAGCAATAATTTAAATGTTCATTAATATCAGAATAATATTGAAAAAAAAAAACCTAATTTTTTTATCATTTTCGAAATAAACACTTTAAAAAATAAAAAATAGTTAAACTACAATATATATTTTTTTAACATACTTTTTTTAGAAAAATCATTACCATGTTGAGTGTCCAAGTATTTACGTTCAAAATGAAGGTAATTTGAAATATTTTTTGTGTTATGTATTATGTTTTGTATTTAGTGTACCTAACGTGTCCACCCCGTCCCTGTGGTCCGGAGCCTGCTCCCGGCGCCTCCGCCCTCGGGTAAATAAGCTCCCACACGGAGATTTTACCGCCTCTAAAGGGGACACTCGTCACAGCGTGTGGCGAGACAGGTCATGATCGTGTTTACATCAAAAAAAACATGTCTAAACTAAACCATTTGAATAAAAAATCTTTACACACGATCATAAAACTTACTCGCCTAAAAATTAATTTTTTTATACATTACTATCAAATACACACATTTTTTTTACCCAAATGACATTAAAAATCTTTGATATAGACTTTTCAATTACTAAAAAACATGACCAGGTATAAAAAATCTGGTACAAAAAATATTTTTTAACGAATTTTGTTCAAAAAAATGTTTCAAATCCCTGGTCTCGTTTAGTCTATATCATAGATATGCAAAAACACTTCAAATTTCAAACAATTTAAACGCACAGCAATAGCAAAATATATTCTCGACAAAATCTCTTCAAAACACTAAATGCCATCGACAAAGTCGTAGGGTTTTTAGTGTAAATTATATATTTAAAATTAGCAACAAAATAAAGCCTTAAAAATACAGTAAATCTGAGATCAATTTAATTATTTATACTTGACTAATATCATAAATGCGAAAGTTTAGATGGATGTTTGTTAGAGTTTGTAACCTAAACGGCTTGGCAGTTAGATGACATTTTGGTATAGATGTAGAGGATATTCTGGAACACATAGGCTACTCACTTTTTTTTTAGTTCCACGCGGACGGAGTCGTGGGCGAAAGGTATATCATATAAATATATATCATATCATACTAATATTATAAATGTTTAGATGGATGGATGTTAGAGTTTGTAGCTTAAACGGCTGAACGGATCTCCATGAAATTTGGCACAGGTTTAGAGCATAGTCTGGAAAAAGACATAGGCTACTTTTTATCCCTGGAATAGTTACGGTTCCCGTGGGATTAATTTAGTTTTTTAAGGTTTACTCAATCATTCTGCAACGGTTCAACATATCTTATTGAAATTTGACACAGATATAAAAGTCTGGAGTACACATGGGATAAGCTTCATCCCCGAGAAATGTCCTGTTCCCGAGGGATACGTAGCTTTTTGTTATTTATATAGTTCGTATTTTTTCTAATACCACGCGGACGAAGTCGCGGGAAACAGCTAGTGTTTTATATGTGTGGGTTTGTATGTCAATTTTAAAGATATTTAAATAATACATAGACAAGGCATAGCGAATAATTTTTTTATCACCGGTACTTTCTCTGAAAGGTCTATATCAGTTGTCAAGTTTAGTGCTTCGTGTTGACATGTAATATAACATTTTACTAAATTGTAATAAGCTCCGTCGTTTATTAAAAAAGAAACTAAGCAGTGTCACAAAATAAACACATTTAAATCTCATTTCTTATCTATACTATTATAATAAAGCGTAAACACACACTTCTTTGTTGCCTAACATGTCAGCAATTACACCATATTTTTGAATAATTCTTTTGTTAATAAAAAGCCCTACATTTACGTCACGCTTTAGGCTATATATTTTCACATAAAACATAAGGGGTAAATATTTTGGATAAAAACCCTAATGTGGGAAAGAGACCATAAGTTGTTGCCAACATCAAGGAAGCAAGATTGCCATGGTTTGTCGTGTCATGTCATTTTGACATATGCAATTGAGAATTTGACACTTGTAAACAATAAAATCAAAATTTTCGTAATTTTCTTCGGATGAAGCCGCACGGGAACAGCTAGTTAATATTATAAATGCGAAAGTTTAGATGGTAGAGTATGTAATCTAAAGACCTTTAATGGATTTCGATGAAATTTAGTATAGATGTAGAGGCTAGTCTGGAAGAACACATAGGCTACTCACTTTTGTTTTAATTCCTCTCGGACGGAGTCGCGTGCGAAAGCTAGTATTATATTACTTATTAGCAACTAATTTAAATACAATTATATTGATATGTTTTGAGGTTATCAATAACGTTAGTTGTGACAAATGTCTCAAGTGAAGTGTCAACTATGCCTACTCTATGTATTTGAATCTCTTTGATTTTACAACCGTTTTTTTCGGTTAAATTAACTTTTATTCTGGATTAAAATCGAATAAAAGCTTTTATTACTGAGAATTTAGTAAATCTATATTAAAAGAAGTTCTCATAGTTTGTCTAAATAAGATAGATTAGTTTGACAATTCAGTAGGGATGGGTTGTATAAAATCAGTCATGAATCTTATCGATTTTCCATTTTTATTCTTATAGTAGTTGGAATCGATAGATTTATAGTTATAACTTATGGAATAAAAAAAACATTGTTTTCCGAAATTAATAAAGACTATATCAAATAATGAGAGTAAATAAATGTTTATTACTACTACAGCCGTACGTAATCGAATTGGATTTCACTATTATTTCTGTCATCGCTAAATTCTCTACACTATAATCAATACTAGAATTGTCCTTTAAATTAGTTAATAAGAAAATAATTTTAGTTGAGTTCGATAATTATTTAAACCAAATATCGATAGTTCAAAATTGTTCGCTGCGTGTTTCGTCACTACGATACCTGTCTAAGTACGGCATTTTTCATACAAATTGCTTAACACTTCATACGCGTCATTTATCAAACTAATCTATCTTATTTAGACAAACTATACTGGATTGATTTTGATAGAACTTTGGTCGATCTCATATTTCATATAAGGGCCTGTCCCAAAATTCTTGTAAATTATCAGACAACAATCCAACATACAAAATATGATGGAAATATCGAATTTTGTTATGACAGTGACGTCATAAGCTATCTGAGTCCTTATCTGCCAGTAGTGGGACAGGCCATTAGTTTTTTACCTAACATATAGAAATTAATTTTTATTTCTTTCATGTAGGTTATATTCTCAATTTTATAGTCAAGCATAATAAATATAATTAACTAGAAGATTTTTGGATAGAAACCGCTTCAAACGACATAAACTTTTTAAAAAAATCTGTCACTTTTATACGATTTTCTTTAAATTTTGTTGTAAACGGTTTCAGTACAGTCAAAGAATTAAATTCTCTACCCACTCAGGATTTACTCACAAAGAATTACAAGATTTTCATTACATTATGTTTTAACAATTTATCTATTGTATGTATTACTTCTTGGCTCAGTGGTTTAAGCACTTGACTTGTAATTACAGGTCTTGGGTTCGAATCCCGCCATGTACCAATGTGATTATAGATTTCTCGAATTTTCATATGTACATAATTTACCCGACGTTCTTACGGTGAAGGAACACATCGTGATGCATATCGGTGAAGAAATTCAAAGATATGTGTGAAGTCAACCCGCACTTGGCCAGCGTGGCTGACTATGGCGTAGTCACCCATGATTAGCGTAGGCTCCGAGCCCCTCAGTGGGGACGTATAGTGAGCTGGTGATGTATTACTTCTTACTAATTATAAATATGAAATGTTTGGATGTTTGTTAAAATTAGCCTATACTGCTAAACGGATCTAGATGTATGTCATAGTTGGTAAAAAATACAATACTTTACCATAACATAAATGCAAAACTTTATATGTATGGACATTTATTACTACATATCTCCAAGCTTAACCAATCTCAATGAAAAATGCCACATATATAGAACATGGAAAAACACATGAAAATTCTTACTTAAACCAAAGTGGGTAGGAAAATAAATTCCCCAGACTGTGACAAATAATTTATAAATTCGCCACAGCTGTATCCGCAAGCTTCTAAACTCACCAGTTCCTTCTTCTTCTCCTTATCCTCTTTCTCCTTCTTGCGCACTTCCACGATGTACTCGTTGAAGAACTTCTCCCTGTCGCGAGCCTTCTCTATTCCTTTGAAGCGATCATCTCGACCGTGCTTCGAAGAAAACTCCGTGAAAGAAGATCTGAAGGGGAAAAAAATATATCTTACTAATATAAATGCGAAAGTTTAGATGGATGGATGTTTGTTAGAGTTTGTAGCCTAATCAGCTGAACGGATCTTGATGAAATTTGGCATAGATGTAGAGGATAATCTGGAACAACACATAGACTACTAATTTTTGTTTTTTTTAAATAGCACGCGGATGGAGTCACGGGCGAAAGGTCGTATATACATATTTCCGCCTGTGGAATTAAAAATACAACAAAAATGCCTATCCTCAGTAATAACAGCATTGTAATGGTGGAAGAATTTTTTTAAATCAGTCTAGTAATTTTTGAGTTATTTCAATACATACAAAACACAAACCTTGGCTATTTATAATATTAGTATGGATGTATTTATGCTAATTTTTATATACATTTATGCTTGAAATATAGTACAAGTTGCGTCCGTTCTTGACTGGTCAAGATACAATAGAACCTTGATAAGTTAAAGTCCAAGGGAAACACAAAATATTTTAAGTTATAAAGGTTTTAAGTTATCAAGGGTCTATGTTGTAAAGGTTTTGTGCTCTGATGATAAGGGAACATAATATTTTTTGAAGTTATAGAAGTTTTTAAGTTACCTAGGTTTAAGTTATCGAGGTTCTGCTGTATTTGAAAAACTGTATACAAGTAGTCGTACAATTAAAAAAGTTACTTATAGGCTTTTCCCTTAATCATGGCCTATCCCCCCTTTTTTTTCTACTAACCCTCTTGATCATCTCTCCTTAAACGTCTACTCTGCCCTCTTGCTCAATTGGTTGTCCCCCTTTGTACATCACCTCTCCTTTATCGTTATCCTGCTCCTCCCTTGAGCACTGACTCCCTCCTTTCTCATCGGCTCTTCCCCTTTCTATCACCTTCCCCTTATTCATCATCTTCCCCCTTGCTTCGATGAACAGCTCTCCCCCTTGTTCATCAGCTCCCATAGGTTATCTCCTCTCCCCCTTTCTCATCAGTTCCCCCTTGTTCTGAACTCCCCCTTAGATTAAGTGGTTGGTCTGTTAACTCACTTGGAATGCAGCTTAGCCTCCTCCATCAGTTCTCTGAAGGCGGTCTTTTTCGCCTGCAGACGGTTCTTCTTCTCTTTCCGCTCCTCCTCTGCGCGCTCACGAACGTATTTGTCGAAAACCTAGAACACATGATATAAGTTTTTACCGCGACTTCGAATGGTAATGAAAAACTTAAAAGTCTATGTGTGCTTGCTAGAAAAATTTTGATATCGGCCAAATTAGTATAGTTTGTTGGTAGAATTTCACCGTTAAATGCTCGATGATGCATTTACACATCAGTCTTTTGTAAAACATAGTACCTTTCAAAGAAGTTACCTTGCAAGCCCAGTCTATACATCCATCACCTGTTTCCTCTCTTTAGAGTTGAGCCATCTAGCTATGACATATCTTAACATAGTACCTTTCAAAGAAGTTGCCTTGAAAAATCTATTCTATACATCCATCACACATCTATTTCCTCTCTTTAGAGCTAAGGAGCAGACATCTTAACATACCTTTCAAAGAAGTTACCTTTAACGTCCAGTCTATACATCCATCACACATTTATTTCCTTTCTTTAGAGTTGAAGAGCAGATATCTTAACATAGCACCTTTAACATCCAGTCTATACATCCATCCTTACCTGTTTCCTCTCCTTCGAGTTGAGGAGCAGATATCTGCTATCAAAGACGATCTTGTGCAGCTCCTTCTCCCAGGGGCTGAAGGCGGAGACGGAGCTCTCGTGCAGCAGCTGCAGGAAACGGCAGACGCGCTGCTCGAAGGGGACCACCGCGCGCTCGCGAGCCGCGCGCCGCTCCGCCTCCTCCGCCGCCTGCTTGCCCGCGTCTATCACGCTGCCCTTCTTACCTGCACCACCACCATCATCACATCACTATACATACACACTATCGGTTTATCTTAATACTAGCTGTTTCCGTGCGGCTTCATCCGCATGAAACTATAAAGACTTTATTGTTTATGTTGGTAAAATGTCGAAATCATTCAAAACGTCGACAACCTTGCTCCCTTAATGTTGGTAGATGTAGTTAATGGTCCCATTCCGACATGAACTTTTTTTCCAATTTATTTACCCCCAAGTTAAATAGTGTGTAAATTTATAGCCTAAAGCATGTCGTAAGTGTGAGGCATTTTATTAAAGAAAGATTTATTCAAGAATATGGTGTAATTGCTGACATCTTAGGCAACAAAGAAGTGTGTGTTTACGCTTTATTATAATAGTATAGACAAGTACCTACTAGTAATAATATGTCACTGACAAATAACGTTATTTATTGGTGAAAGAAATTTAAATAACTCGAAAACTACTGGACCGATTTCAAAAAATCTTTTACCATTAGAAATGTATTTTTTTAATAATAAAAATTCTTTATTGTATAATTAATATCAGGCTCCTTAACTAGAAAATTCTGTGCTTAAGGAGCCAATGCCTTTCCTTTCAAGTACATTTAACAACACAAAAAAAAACAAGTATCAAAGCCATATAAATTACAGAAAAAATTTAACATAGTGTTAATTAGTAATTTATCTATGTGACATTGGCTATTATTTTATTCTACGCGGACGCAGTCACGGGCGCAAGCTAGTATATATGTAACAGTACTCACCATCAGTCTTCGTTTTCTTAGCGGGCTCTAGGTCTGAATTATCGCTGTCGGAGGCGGAGCGCTTCAGCTCGCCGTTGCCTGTCGCTGCTGCAGCAGCGCCGCCCGCTGCGGCTCCGGCTCCGGCAGCAACAGCTGCTGCGGCAGCGCCCACACCACCTGCTCTACGCTGTTATACGAAATATCGGTTAAAGGTAAATTATGTGTACTCGCAAAGAGATTAAAAATACAGAGAATAGGCATAGACACTATTTTTAAAACATTTTTCACATAATCTATTTAATATTAAAGATTCTGAACGCCCCTTTTTTTTTATATTATAAGGTGGCAAACGAGCAAGCGGCCAACTGAATCCACCGAATTGTAAAGCGACCTCTGCCCATAGACATCCGCAATTGCAGCGTTGCCTAGAGGATATTCACCCTTTCATCTTTACCTTATAAAAAAGGGTGGGAAAGAAAGGGGACTAAAGTTGGACCTCCGGCAGTACACTCTGATGAGTAAGACAAACATCCATCTATCCATCCACCCATCTAAACTATCGCATTTACAATATTAGTATGAAGTATATCTTTGAAAATTCATTATTTTCTTTAGCTGAAAACCATATTATTTCTAATAACTCCGCCAATATCGTATATAATGTTGATGATATCGTGTTTCGATGTTTATAATGTGTACAAAGTGAGGTGCTACAGCTAGTTTGTGTACTGCATACCTGCAGATCCACCGGCGGCTGGCTCACCGCCTTGTCGACATCAGCTCGGCCCACCAGCTGCGGCGGACGCTCCCACACCGAGGAGTTCGCTGTCGGGTTGTAGAAGAACACGCGTCCATCCCCTGTCCACACCACGCACCTGTACAGGGGACGATATTGACATTATGAGGAAAAATCTATCTTCATCTATACTAATATTAAAAAGAGGAAAGATTTGTATTTTTATATGTATTGAAATAACTCAAAATCTACTAGGCCGATTTAAAAAATTCTTTCACCGTTAGAAGGGTAATTTATCTGTGAGTAACATAGGGTATATTTTTTAATTTAACGCGGGCGAAGTCGCGAGCAACAGCTAGTAATATAAAAAGTTTAAATGGGTTAGTGTAGCATAAACTTCTGTACGGATTTTGATTTTTTTTAATAACATAAGGTGGCAAACAAGCAACAAGCCTCCTGAATTTGTCAAAATGGCGAAGCAACCGCTGTCTACAGACACACATTTGCAGATGCGTTGCCTACCCTTATTCGACAGAGAAGACGCACATAAAGAGGACATTTCCCCTTCCTATGCGTCTCCACCGTCAAATCCACTTCCCATACCCACCCTCTCCTTATAAGAAAAGGGTGGTAAAGAGAAGGACTTAAATTAGGTCTCAGGCAACACTTATCAGACGAGACACGGAATTGCTTCCATTTTACCTTTCGAATGGTGAAGGAATGTTTCATAATCAGCAAAGTAGTTTTTTCATGAATAAACTACATACAAAAAAAACAAAACCGACTTCCAAACAAAATACACCAAAAACAAAATATTCTCAAAAAAACAGTACACTAAAAAGTAACGAAATAATTCCTTGAAAATAGTAAACCTACCTTATTGTAAGTGTTATGTCTATATTGTACAATTATTACTTTGATGTCGGTGTCAGCCAAGGTACGCAGTGATATTTCTACGTAAGGCTTTCTACATTTGTACCATAACAATTGACAATTGAAAGTATAGTAACAATTAAGTAATGAATCTACATTGACTGACACCGACTTCAAAGTAATAATAATTGTACAATATAGACATAGCAGTTACAATAAGGTAGTATAGATAAAATAAAGAATTTAGCTTCAATTGTGTTTATCATTATTTACATACTAGCTATCGCTCCCGACTGCGTCCGCGAGGAAAAAATTATCCTATGTGTTTTAGATTATTCTCTACATTTATGCTTTTCAAGATTCCTTCAGTTTAGGCTACAAACTAACATACATCTAAACTTTCACATTATTAAGACTTTTCACAATAAAACTAACCAAGGCGTGCCAGATATCGGAGTACTCGATATCGGTCTACTCCTGTCCTGCTTCGCTTTCTCCTTCTCCGCTTTCTCCTTGTCCGCCTTCTCTCTCTCCGCGCGCTCCTTCTCCACTCTCTCCTTCTCCGCTCTCTCCTTCTCCGCCTGCTCTCTCTCCCTCTCCTGCTCCTGCTCCGCCACTTTCCTCGCATCTTCAGACGCCGCTGCAGCTTCTGCGTGCGCGTCCACATCTATCACTGGAACAGAAAACTCCCTATAACGAACGACTCCGTATAACGAACGACTCCATATAACGAACAACTCCCTTTAAATTTCCGCATTTAATGTATTTCACTTACCTTCCATCTTATCGTCAATTTTCTTCTCTGACAGAGCTTTCTCCTTTATTATCTTTGCTTGTAGCTCTGTAAAAAAGATAAAATAATTTAAAATACTTCTTTTAAACAATTAATATGATAGGGAATATGCATGTTTTTTTTAAAAAAAGATTCTACTTGTTAAAAATAACCAGATAAAAAATTGACTCGAAAATATTCAACCATTGAGATAAAATTAAAATAAAGTTACAATCATTTTCGTGTGACTGAAACGCGACCGGTGTTGGCATGAGACACGTGATGTCAATCGTCATATTTCATTCATCACATTCGCTCAGGTGTCACTTCGTTGTAAAAAAAACAACAAAGTATCTCGAAAATCGAAAATCAAAGGTAATCTACAGGTCCCAGGACGGTACAGGTCCTGGGACCTGTAGATTACAAGTAAAATGCTTAAACCACTGAACTGCCGACGCTCTTTAAAGGTTCTTATGACTTTACAATTAAGGGGAACTAGCTTTTAATTGATGAAGGCTATCAGTTAAGTAAGGTGGGACTGGCCGTCAATTAGGGCGGACTAGCCGTTAATTAAGGAGAGCTAGCCGTTAATAAGGGGACTAGCCGCTAATTAAGAGGGGTTAGCCGCTAATTAAGAGGACTAGCCTTTATGGGGGCTAGGCGTTAATTACGGGGTTTAGTCTTTAAGGGGGCTAGCCGTTAATTATGGGGTTTAGTCTTTAAGGGGGCTAGCCGTTCATTAAGGGGGAAGCTAGCCACTGATGGAGGAGCTACCCGCTGATTTAGAGGAGGTAGTCAATGGTAGTCAATCTGTCAAAGGGGGGAGTCTTTACTTTAAGGGGGTAGATAGATCAAGGGAAGAGAAACTTGTGGAAAATTTAAAAAATATCAAATAAAACTTTTTATACTGAATTGAATGGTTTAAAATATTCCCTTACCTTCTAATTCCTTCATAGGTTTTGGTTTCTCCCATACTGATTCCTTTTTGGTGTCGTTGTAGTAATACGGTTTGCCGTCGGGAGCGCTGTGCGTCGTCCACTCCGCCGCTGCCACCACCAGCTCCGGTGGTATCACCTGCCACCATCAGATAACTATACATATACTAGCTGTTGCTCATGACTTCTCCCACGTTAAATATATACAGACGGCATTTAGTTTTTTCTTGAAAATGTTAGTAATACAGCTATTTAAGGGTCTGATATATGTTTTTTTGTATCTTTTCATCAGTTTCAAAAGAATTAATATAATAAAATAAACACACTTCTTTGTGGCTTAATCCTTAACTTGGCAGGATTTTGTTTTTTCGAATATCAAAATAATATTCATAGCACTTAACCTTGATGAACCAAGGTGTTTAGAAAAAAAAATTGATGTATCTCTACAGATACACTAACAAGAAACGGTTTAAGATGTCAGCAATTGCAGCATATTTTCGAATAACTCTTTTCTTAATAAAAAGCCCTACACTTACGTCACGCTTAGGCTATATATTTTCACGCCATTAAACTTAGGGGGTCAATATTTTGGAGAAAAACCCTAATGTGGGAAAGAGACCATAAGTTGCTGCCAACATCAAGAAAGGAAGATTGCTAAGGTTTGTCATGTCATGTCATTTTGACATTTGCTATTGATAATGTAACAGCTAGTCGTAATGTATTTCTTTGTGTAAACATTGAATGGTAATAAAGTATTGGGGAAGGAATTGGCATATGACACAGGGCAACTACAGAAGCCACTTCCATGAAATATACAAAAGAGACAATAAATTATTATTTAAAAAAATAACTAACAGTTTCCTCTTTCTTGGGCGAAGGTAGATTATCCACGTTGATTGGCTCCATTTTGCTGCCAGGTCCTGTCAACGGCATCTGAGTTGTTGCTCCTGAAAAACAGTAGAACCTTGATAAGTTAAAGTCCAAGGGAAACACAAAATATATTAAGTTATAGAGGTTTTAAGTTATCAAGGGTCTATAGGGATAGGTTAATACAGAGATATGTACCCTTTTTCCTATTTTTACTTGCGTCAGAATGATTTCTAGATATTAAAATTTAAATAATCATAATTAATTATTTATATTGCACATTGCAGGTTCAGTCTTTAACAGTGGTAGTGCCCGCTTTAACATGCTAGCACTGCAGGGCTCGCCCCCAGTACCACGACCACAGACAGGTGTGAAATGGAAGCAATTCCGTGTTTCGTCTGATGAGTGTGCTGGAGGCCTAATTTAAGTCCCTTTCCCGTTACCATCCCTTTCTTATAGAAGAATATGGGGAGAAGAAGTGGATTTGACGGTGAAGAGGCATAGGAAGGGGAAGTATCCTCTTTATGTGCGTCTCCGTCAATGAAGGGTAGGCAATGCTGCAATAGCGGATGTCTATGGGCAGCGGTCGCTTCGCTATTTTGGTGGATTCAGGTGGCCGCTTGCTCGTTTGCCACCTTATGTTATAAAAAAAATAATCTGTGGTTTTCTTTCGTTTTAAACAATTTACAGTTTCTAAATAGATTTGATTTTCAATGAGAAATAGAGAGAATA